CAGTAAAGCCGATTTGCTTGCGGGCGGATGGTCATTTCGAATTGTCAGGAAGTCTCTCAAAGCCTCGAGAAGATAGCTAAGATAAAGCATGTTTTTATTTTATTCCATTCTGATCACTTCGATTTTCGAAAGAGCTATAATTTTTGTGAAATGATTTCATCAATTTCAGGTTAGAAATCTCATTCTTTCAAGGAATGTTGGAAGTGTCGAGGGCGTGAATCAATATATATCGTTCTGGATTCTTTCAACTTACATTGCAAGAATATTGAACAACGCTGAAAATGAGAAAATTTAATCAAATTGTCCTATCTGATTTCATAATAATAATCTAACTTAAGCAATCAACCCATTGAGCACCAAAACTCTAATCTGAATTCATCTATTTGAACATAGGTAAGTAACATGAGATTTTCAATAATATACCGAAACAATTTATTCAGTAAAAGTCCAATCAAACTATTTTATGATAGGCGGCATTAGCCTTAGTTGATTGATTCAGTCTCTATGAATCCCTGTCTATGTCACGTCACAAGTTCCTCCGCGCTATTCTGGGTTGTAATACTTTCGTTTTGTAGTCTTAAATGCATATTTAGCTGCACCATATTAGTCCCTATTTTCCAAATTGGAGCAAATCAAATAATAACATCAAGCGTTCAAGAAATGAGCATCGTTGTTGTAATAATAATGACCATACAATCTACTCTTAATGGAAAAGCAGAAACCAGGAGAATATTTTTTTTGCGATGTATGTTGGAAGTGTCGAGGGTGTAAATCAATAAAATCGCTCTGGACAAATTTAACATTTATTGCAAGAAAGTCCGTCAACGACTAACCCGTGATCCCGTTCCCAGTGTGGGTATATCCGTCATTCTGTGCCAATATGAGATCACCACATTGGTCCATATTCTAAGTAATTTCGTTTAATATAATCGTCATAGTTTGAAGTTTTTTGTAAAGCTAGTGCGTAATAGCGGGTGCATAATAGCGTTTAAACTTTAGACTCTCACCTCAAAGTAAGTGTGAGTGGCCCTAATATCAGTCGCGCCATATCTTATAATCAATGAAAACACTTTGAAATAACTGCCTGTGGCAGCGCTCTTGCTACACCAAGAGCAAGTTGACGTATAACTTCGGCTATATGAGATCGCACGTTTAGGGGCACGCTGTTCACGCCAAAGCATAAAAACACAACTCGAAGAACTTTCAGGACTATCAAAAGAGTTTAGACCTGATAGCGTCACTATATTTGGTCCTAGGAAACATTTTTACTTTATACCAAGTCTGTGGAGTAGTCGGGAAAAATTAATACTCAACACCGACACCGGGGTGAGAAAAATTGTGACTCCTACTTCGACTCTCGACCCCGGGGTGTTTGGAAATACCCCTCAACACCGGTGAAAATATGCCAAATGCTGACTCCATACTTCAGACTCCACAGCGATTACAACTGCTCAGTTAGATTTTTCAATTTAAATGGTGATATGATAAATTCCAAGTCGGGAGGGAGGGCAAAAACTTTTCTGCTAAAATCATTTTATATCCCCGAACATTTAAATTCACGTCATAATAACACAATCCTTTTTCAGACACCATTGCGATTTGTTTTCAACTTCGAAAAATACTTTGCGCAATGCTGCAATAAGTGGTGTTCTCAAGTATGTAAGTAGGCCTAAGGTCTGGATTTTGTTTTGTTACGTTTCTCACGAAAGCGCCGTCGTAACTCAAACAGAACTCTTGACGTGGTTCCACACATAAGCTAACAAGTGAACTACTCCGAACGCTTAGAGCGAATTGAATGAAAGCAATATTTTACAACTTCATTAAAATTCATACAATTCATATAGGCCAACATGGGATAGTGATATAAAGTTTGAAATGATTCAAAACGAGAAAATTGGAATGTTTTATTAAAAACCTGGTTTTTATCTAAACTAACTTTGTAATTATTAGATATATATAATACATTTCCATACAGTAGCACAAGTGAAATTGCACAGATGTGCTCACTCCTTCGGCTACTTTCTGCAGTTTTTGGCATGTTCATTTTAATCACCATGTTCTTGGATGGGGAAACAAATTTCAATTGGAGAAATATTTCATGTCAAACAACACCCATGGTAAAATCTCCATTGAGCTCCATCAGTTTGAAAACTGAAACATACATTACGGAGACTGATGTTAAACAAAACTACAAAGTTTTTGATGAGTTTGAATCTCGGTATTCGAGGCGATGAAACAATAAAATTTTTGTATATTTGACGAGTTACTTTTCATAGCCAAACTATTGACTAATTCTTTTTTCATTATATGACTGCAAGATGTATGTTTCTTCCACTAGGTACAATAGTTTGGTCATTGACGACAGCGGAAACTTTTGACTCGTGAGCACAGGAATGAAAACGGAAATACTAAAATCAGGAACGCATAACATAAATTAATAATTTTTATTCTTACGTAACTGTTCTTTAAATCTATACTGAGGCGTTCCACTGTAGATTTGTGTAGTCTAGAAGCTATTTGTTATCTTTATATAACTTGGTTCTATTTTCGTACGCAACACTTCCCCACGATTGCCTTTCAGCAAGTTGACAAGTTAAAAATGAAACGAGAATATCGGTCAGAGACCGAAGACTTATCGATCGAAAGTTAGGGGATCCCCCAAAAAAGCGCTCTTACTCCATAGTGACACCTTTTGTCCCATCACTAATTAATTAAGAACTCACTAATTATACGACATAATTCATCCAAAATCAATAGGCTTCTGGTCCGACATAGGATGAATGCACATGCAAAATCTGGAGCAGATTCAATCTCGCTTTCGTGAGATATCGCGTGCATCTAACAGACAGACAGACAGACAGACAAATACCTATCAACATACTTAACGATTAAAATTGATAAGTAATAAAATCGATAAGTAATGAGAGAGCAGTGCCGAGGTAGACTCTACACGAAAGTCACGTGGGTTTCTGTGAGGCATTAACTGAACACTGAAGTGTGCCATTGCGCGTATAGCGACACCTAACTTTGCCCGTGTCGTTCGAGGTTGACCGCAGAACATTACAATATATAGACAAAACAGGCAACTTACTTTTTTTTTTTTTCGAGACTTTACAGTGTACTTTTAAGGAAACTCAGTCCCAGTACGCATCGGAGTGCTAGAGGGGCAACCTCGAACCATATACGTTATAAAAGTGGCAGCACGATGTAAAATAAAATTATTTGGGAAATATAAGACTAGGACTAAATAAGAGATAATCTTCTTTCCAGGTTCCAAAAATTATTTTATCTTTAATTACAATGAAAATTTTAATGGTCCATTAATTGCAGAGAAAAGTAATTTTATCAACAATCACATAACCACAGATATTTAACAAAACAATCCATATAAACACTTTCTGTCCAATATTGTCTCATCCGTCTTGCTATCATGCTAGATAATGAAATTCGAAACTGCTTAGTGTTATCGCATAATTTTATTTTTTTTTAGTGCCATAGCTACACAATATATATATATATATATATTGGCGAATTAATTTTTTCACAAACCCTGATGACCTGACCACTGCTGAACAGCGATCAAAAGTATCTTAAGAGATTACAGAATTCGAGTCTTCCTATGCTATGTGTGCTGCCAGTGTGTCATATTCGCATCAATTATTTCAGTAAGAATATTGTTTTCTAAGTAATCGAATTCCCAGGTTACACTATATATATCCCATCCGTGCTAAAGTATGAATCCAAGGCACATTTCAGGGAAGCATTAAAAAGCATTGGTTCCCACACGCTAGTCCAAGGACCGGTTGCGATCCGCGATGCTTTTTGGCCTGTTTTTCTGTCGGCTTAACCGCGTACCTAAAACTAGAAAAAAAAGACGAAGCCGCTTCGTTAAGCGTTTTCCCTCCGCCGTTATTTCGCGTATTTGATAAGTGGGGTGGGATAATTGCACCGGCGACGTCTTGGTGACGAGCGATCACATTTTCCGCTTTTCAGGTTAAGATTCGTCGCGAAGGAGCTTTATTAAATCTCGCACGTATCAAAAACCTACAAATCTACGCGCGTATTTCAGTCCATATACAAACAAAACAACAAAATAAATAGTTCTTAGGACACAATTGAAAAGTTGGGGATGTTCCCAATTCTTTTCTGTTGTGTGCGCCAAGTATCGAAGTACTTTGGATTAAATAAGACTTAATACTTGTTCCAAAGTTCATGCTACTATTGAATACAGATCGAGTTTCGCATTTGAATCGAACAAAGATTATTTAATTATTAAACTGTATAAATGTCCTACCGGGTTCGTGGGTAAACTACAGAATTATCATTCAAATACTGAAAAAACACTATGTTAATTAAAGCAGTGTCGCATGATAGTCTTCCTCATACCATAATATGATATTTAATGGTCATATGATTTTACAAACTCATTACCTTATGCTGTTTATTGCTGTTGCTATTTTGTTGATGACTGTATTTTTTGACTGACGAAGTAATAAATCTCTCTCTCTCTCTCTCTCATGGATAATTCATTGAACTTAAGACAAATTCGTATTAAGTTACTGTCAGAAAAGCGTCTATCATTTTTGAGGATGCTTTGTATTCACAAAGAAAATACCAAGTCATACATTTTCATTCGTAAGCCAAAAAGTGCACTTAACAATTTGTGTTTCCAGTGAACTACATATTATTTTTTTAAAGTGTTCCATGCAGTCAAAAACAATACCACAGCAAATCAAGCAAAAAGGTACTCACGAAAATGAGGCTTTGTTCATGTGTTGCTTATTAATGCTTTGTGTCATCCATTTCAATATATAATTCGTCACCGATTCCCGTGGTCATTATGTTCGATGTTACCGTCCGACCTAGTCAAAAAGGTTGGGAAGCACTGTTATAAAGTGAGTATAGTGGATAGCAAGGCATAATTCACTGTACAACAATTCTGCTTTTCTCCTAATTCGTTTTCCTCGTCACCAATTCCCTGTTTCCAGAAAATACAGATGTTCATTGAAATAATTTATTGCAATAATTACAAGAATAACAATAAAGTAGAGTTAAAATTCAGACAAAATCCACAACAGAAAAATGATCGATGCCTAGTGGTTTAAATGGTGAGGAGATGAATATTAAAGTTATGATTTTGAGTTGATTCGATAGTTTGTCGATATATCTGGAATGTTACATCGGGCTGTATTGTCTGTAATTCAATATATTATAACATATTAAATCCGGTGTCTTAGAAGTGTAATGTTGCAAAAATAAGAATAAAAGGAACAGATAAAGTTTAAACTTCATTAAATACTCCAAGGCAGGTTTTATTTCGTTTTTTTTTTGTATAATCTATTCATCTATAACAAGTCGTTCATGAAATTTGCATGAAATGTTAAATTTAATATTAGATGTAACACATATGGAAAGTTTGTACCTTTCATTATGATAAAATGATGGTAATTTTTCGTAACACCAAAATTTAGTAAAATGAAAATAGATAGATTTTTGAGGTGATTTGATGATAGCTTATGAAAAAAATAAAATATTATTTATGAAAAGAAGGCACAAGTGCAAAAATGAATGCAATTCGAGAAATACAATAAAGAAAATTAGAAAAAATATAGGTGGAAATTGTCGTCAAAAAACATCAAAATCGTCGTATCTGTACAGATGTCGGCTCGCCAGTTCAATTCTAGCCCGTTGTACATTCGAATTAGGAGCAATCACATCGGTTAAAATTATTAGTCGATCCAAAACATCAGCTTTTTATGCACAGCAGTTGTTAGTGCGAGCTTTGATCCAATCCAAGAAATAGAATACGTCGGTATATAAAGCAGGTTGTCTGTCGTACGACTTGGTGTTGCAACTGGGAGAACCAATGCTTGTCAATCCGTACACGTACCAGAGAGTTTTCATCTGAGTACCCAGGTAAACAGATTTTGATTTGGATCCGACAAGAGGTCCACCGGAGTCACCCTGTAACAAATGACATTGTTATTATATTTCTGAAAATGAAACATTATACATAACGAATATGCTGGCTTTAATTGCTCAACTTCAAAGCTTGCTTGAATTATCCTTTGTGGAGTACTTTCATTTTTGTTAGGATACTAGTAGTAGTTTTAATTGCGAGCATTTTTGTTGATAAGAATATGGAGCGCGTTAAGTATGAAGCAATTAATCAGTTTTTAATTTAATCTGAAAAGACATACCTTGGATCTTATTTTAAAATTTTATGACAGATTGTTAATGCTTAAATCTGTGAATCTTTTTATTTTGCCACAAAAAAAAAATCTTACAGTGCACGTATCGTGGAATGGTTCTCCGCCGCCGCAGATAACACCTGGTGGGTTTTTGAACCCTGGTACTCGGTTTGTACAAGATATTTTATCTTTAATTTCGACTCCGACTTGTTTCAAGGTAGTTGGTTTAGGTCCCTTGTCTAAAAATAAAAGTTATATCGAATGAATAAAATGTAAAAAAAAAAAATATTACATCTCACATCGTTTCAACAATCAAGCTTCATAATTTGCTTTTTAGTCATATTGACCGGATCATTTTTGTATCTATTAAAAGAAATGAAAAAGTCACTAAAACTCACTTCGGTTTATTCCCCATCCAGTTGCAAACATGACACTTTTTGCTTTGGGAGGCTCAGTAGGCAAGCAGGCTGGTTGAGCAAAATCGTCCATTTTGACTAATTTCCTGAGTTTGATAAGAGCAATGTCGTGAGTGATGACACCTCGGTGTTTACCGGGAATAAATTTTTCGTGCTGGAACATTCTTTCAATATCTGTTTTAAAATAAGTTGACTTTGTTATAAAAGTGAGATATTGCACAGATGAGTTGTTTCAACTTTGGTGCGAAATTTGTTTATATACGTACAAATGATGTGTTAACTGGGTTACATTTGAACAACCATCTGTCACGTAATACCTTTCATAAAACTTATAAAGGCAAAATCAAAACATAACTTCGTAATATGGAGAATGAATATTTCGTATACTTTCAAATCAATTGAAAAATGCCTAAAATTTTTGATCGAAGGATGAATTTTCATATTGTATATCTATATATAATAAAATTAGCCTTAATTGTCGACTGTCATCAAACGTGACCGCGTCCAATCAACTATAGCACGAAATAAGGTGATGATATTTATCGCATTCAACGTGACATTACCATCTTTATTTTAAAAAATATCATTTATCCCGAAAAGAGGGTGTAAGGTCAGATCAAGTTTATTTTTATTGTACTTGAAATCACGCCATGCAGTTATTTCGAATGAATAGCAAAATTCCAGTATATTAATAGCATCACAATTATTCATTTTGTTCGTGAATAGAGATGATTATCAGTCGTTTAAGGCTCTAGATAATTGGCACTATTATGGTACTAAATATTTATGAGAATTGCGCGTGGTAGAAACAAATATAAATTCCATAACTGTTTATTAAAAAAATTTTATCCGTCCGTAACCGTGATTAAATACCGACATTAAATTTTAATCATGCGTAGATAACATCTTGAATTTTTTGTGAGATTGCAATAATATTAATATAGCAATTATAGTTAGAGAGAAATTATTAGAACATACCATTTCCTTTGAAAATTTGAACTTGTTTGCCGTGAGGTGCTTGCCATCCGGCCCATCTTCCAATGAAAATTTTATACATGTTCGGGTCGAGGCTATTAAAAAATAACGAAACACAATTAGATGAATTTAATTTAAATATGATTACTAACAATAATATTTTCACAAGGGACCATTTTATTGATTTGATAATTCAGTAATTTCGTCAATTATGTGGGAGAGTTCATGATATGACCTAATGGTAAATATCCAACGTTTTCTCTTGTTATTCGTTGATTTGCAAATCTAATTTTAGTTGAATAGTGTTTAACCTTTTCCTTATAGTAAAAGTATTTTGAAGCATGGTGTAGTGGTATTGGAAGTCGTGACTATCTGCTTCTGAAGCACATATGCCCCACAGGCAATCCAAAGGATATCTATTACGTGTTCGCTGTGTTAATAGCCTATCAAGTTGACTAACGAGACATGTCCACAAAATTTACTGCGTGATTGACGAGGAAAAGCGAGGAATGCATTGTTTCGGTAACTTTTCTTTAGCTTAGTTGGATTTTAAATTGCTACACCCACTAGGTATCGCAAGCAAATCTAGCATAAAAATACTTACTCTGGCGTGTTCTTGTATTCCGACTGTTGATCAAGACAATGAGCGGCTGTCATCAACCATTGTTGGCAGATCAAAGTAGCTCCGCAGATGAAGGTTCTATTTCCTTCGCTTTTCTGGATCATCACAGTCCAGGGATGACTGAATGGGAACGCTCTAAATGATAATTGTAGGGATAAATAAAATGTAAACTCTTATTATAAGCTAATTCGCTAATCGCTATAATAGGCTTGTAAGGAAATCATAATTTTCGTCTGATATAACGGAAATCCTATAATACATTCATATTTAAAATTAATATATATATAAAAGGAAACTTCCTAGTTTCCTTGCATATATGAACGACGTTAGTCGAGATCAATTAAATGCTAAATTCTGATTGCAGCGACATCCCAATCAGCTCTGAACTCCAATTACTAATAATTAAAGGGCGCGCGTCTATAGTTAATCACTATAATTGTATATTTCAGTTATCAAATTAGATAAGTGTGCCAGTAAATATCTTAATTAAACGTATTTAAATGATTAAGATAAAATTGGGAAAAATTGATTTGATCAACTTCTCATCTGCGCCATAACTGATGATGAGAAAGAAATGCTTTAATAAGATTATGATATACAAAATGGAATCATATAAAACCAAAAGCAATATTGCAGCGCAAAAATACATTTTTATTGAATTAATATTTGATTTCACAAACGTTATTATCATAGCATAATCTGTAAATTCGATACATTTTATGCTATAATAGGTCATAATGTATCATTTCCCGAATGTCACCATCAGATAACAGAATATCTTGATATTCGCTGTCGAGGATTGCGGCCATTTTCAACAACGTAAAATTGAAAACAACACGCAAAGATTTTTGCTGTATTCGTAAGTCCAGCGGATAGCTCTCACGGTTGTTTTTTATGACAACAAGGTTTCTATATTATAAATACAATGTTCAAACAAACCTTGATCCCCCGACAATTTTTCTTGGGTCAAAGTCATTGTCGATCTTTTCAGGCGTGAATGCGGGGTCTCCGCATTTTTGTGGGAAGCATGTTCCGTCATTGTTTCTTGGAACTTGGACTGGTGGTTGGTAAGCATTTTGTTGTGGATTTCCGGGCACAGGGACCATTCGGCCTACAAAAATATGAGATCGTTTTATTGTCTGTAGTTAAAATGTTTAATAGTAAATAATATAAACTGCTCCTTACATCCGAACAGGTTGCATTGTCTCACATATTGCGGCGTTGGTGGTGGTTGAGGTTGGTATATAGGCTGATACGGTTGTTGATTTGCTGGAACGACTGGACGAGCAGCTTTAGGATTGACTGGCTGATATGAATGGCTTTGGATTGTTGGCCTGTGTGATAAAATTGTTGTTTGCGTATAAGTACTATATAAAATAATTCAAGATCAGGTTGACAACTTTTAAAATATTCGCCAGACATACAGGTTATGCACGTACGTACGGTAAGGTAGCGTACGGCATACCAAATAAAAGAATGCTAGTATTATACCTGTATGGCTTCTGGGTTGGTGGTTGACTTTGCTTGTTTTGCATCTGAGATTCCAAAGATTGGAGCTTTTGCAGCGTAGAAGGGCCTTGGGAGTTTTGCATGTTTGATTCCATCTGCTTAAGTTTGTTCAAAAGACTCATTGGAGTGGTAGACAATCCGGACTCCATTTGTTGCAGTTTATTCAAAAGACCTGAAGGCTTGTTTGGGACAGCTGGAGCAGATGGTTGAGTTGGAGCTGGAGCAGAGCAGGAAACTTCATCTGTAATACAAAAAATAACCTTGCTGTGTCACAATATAATAATATCAGCTATATGACGCAGAAGAACATTTAGAGGTCAGTGTAAATATGTTAAGTCGGCTTGTCTCTGTTGTAATAGTGTCACGTTGAATATTAAGATTTAAAAAAAACTTACGATTTGCGTGATGACACATGTTATCGACGTAACAGCATCCTACGCTATCACAAATACTACGAGGTTGTTGAAAAGTTTCAATATTAGGAATGCAGATTCTTCTGTCAGATCTTGCCACAGCTGCACACTTCTTTGCTTTACAAGCGGTCTCGTCTGAATAAATAGTTTAGAAAGTTATTGCGGAGTTGCTCATCGACCGAGACTTCATTTTTGTTTCGAAAAGGCCGGATATTGTCCGATTATTAGTTGGCTTGTCTTCAGTCATATTATCAATAAAAAAATATCTTACCGAGTCGAGAATTGGAGGAAATGATGGCGTTCTTAGGTTGTGGTGGAGCGAAATTCTGTGGTGGCACAAAAGTAGCTTTTGGATGGGATGGTTTTTCTACGGGTACTTCTGGAGCAACAAAGTTACTCATTTCGGTGTGAAAGAAACATGTAAGTCTGTCAGTTCCTATCGCCGATGGATCCCAACAGCAGCCTGTGTATAAAAATTGCATTTATAAGCCTGAATAGTTACATTCAATATATATATATATATATATATAAATCATTTATACACAACATATATATGCATTTATGCATATACTTCGCGTGCTAACTAAAAATTATTTGAGATATGCTGGAGCAAAAGAAGTTGGTTTTGTTAAAAACGACTTTTAAAATTGACAATTCTGTTTATACGTTTCTATATTTTCATCACTTTAAATTTTCTTACCCATTGTTTCGCAAAGTGTTTGATCAGTTCCGTTACTTCCACAGTAAACTCTGTTTTCCACGAATTGCAGGCAACCTTCTCCTTGTGGTATTAGACTTTGCACAGCGGGTTGTTTGGGTGATCCAGCAATGGGACCGTTCATGACCGGAATCGGTCCGTTTGAAGCGGGTTTTGGACCGTTGTCGATGTAAACAGGCTGTCGGTTGTTGTTGTTGAAGGTTGGAAAAGCAGGAGTCGGTCCACCTTGGTAATTTGAGCCAAGTGGGACAATGGGGCGGTTGTACGTCGTAGGTGCAACATTTATCGGCTGGGCGTATGGAGAAGAAATTGATGGCACCGAATAAGAGTATGGGGATGATCGAGAGGGTGCACCAAATGGATACGGCGAAGACGGGCGAGGTTGTTGGTATGGGGAAGATTGGTAGTTCGGCTGGCCACCATAGGTGTTTCTGTTTTGATTCATTCTTCCACTCATTAGCATGTAAAGAAGAGGATTTCCTGAAAAAGATAAAGCTTCTTTGATATATGGAATGTACAGTATTACATATATAACTTCAATAACATAGTATTTTTTATATAGGCACGACTACCGAAAATCAAGTAATAAATTATAATAAATTCGTTGTAAATTTGTGTATGAAAGTAAAATATGTTGCGGGAAAGCAGAAATATATAACTTTCGCGATTGTTGCCATATTTTACTCGGTAATAGTTTAAACAATTTGCCTCTGTTTTGTATTATGCGTCACGTCGAAAAATCTGACATATATATTTTATCCATTCTAAATTCAATTCATCCGAATAGTTTTGTTTTCCTCGATCAAATAATTTTTAAAGTAAAAATTACTTGGTTAAGATTTGTAAAGTAATATCAATAAATATTTTCCAATTCAAAAATATTTCCTCCCTTCCCAAAGATTGTAAACAATTATGCCCATATATTGACACGTTTTAATTACTACATCTAATTACGCAAACAAATATACTGACAAACAAAAATTACCGGAGCAATAAAAACAAAGCAACATAAAAGAATTTCCATCAGTAAATAAAGTTAGAGAGTAATGAAAAGTGATTTACCTTCGACAATGGAGATTGTCAAGCACAGTAACGTGCTAACGATTAATAATTTAATCATTTTAATTTTTTTGTTCACTTTTTCGTTTTCGTCTGTTTTAAACCTGTTAACAAAAATAAATGATTTGTTTTATTTCGATTTATGCTAGATTTATTTGTTTTGTTGGCCACTTGAACCGTGACCAAAAAATTGAAAGGTACGAAATTTTTCTGAATTTTCTTTACGAAACTTTAACTCTTTATTTTGTTTGTATTCGTTCGATGAGCTTATACTTCGCTAAGTATTATATTTTAAATACTAATCATATTTATTGTCATAATAAATCTTGAATGATAAGCTATTGTTACATACCTTTAATATCTCTTCCGAATTGGAGGCTTTGAAGCTTATTTGTATCGACTCTTTTCTTTTAATTTTCCAGTTTCATTAACCTACGGAGTCGCGTTAAAACTGCAAAGATACAACAATAGTTTGAGGTTATATATGCATAACTAACCGTGACGTCATCATCGACTAAAATTAAACGTCACGGCGAAATGATGAAAATAATGTCTACGAGACGCCAGACAAAAATTCGTGACATGATTTTTCTATTGTGAGACCAGAGTCTTCATTTCCACATATACACCTTGGTATTTAAATAAAACAGCTAATTTAATAATATTCAATAGTAAATCGTTTGGTCATCATTTTAACCTTAGTCAACTTAGTTACTCAGAAATATTTTTCATATATATTCTTCGTTTATTTTATATTTTTGAATTCAGACGATTCACGCTGTAGAGCGGTCTGTCTGATCTGAGTATAGATGAGGCGAATTTCTAAAAAAAATTGTCGAAATCGTGGAAAAATTATGACCGGACGGCGGTTCTGATTAAACTAATTGAATACGACCTCAGGATTGATTTTGTTCACGATTTAAGATCCACATTTATTTTATATTTTCAACCCCACTGCACATATTTTCCTAATTTTGAAATAGCTGAACGCCTAAACCAAATTGTCCTATTTCATAATAAAGCAAGTATACTAGTATACTCATTCTCTCTTAGCTAACGTCTTCAAGTTCGTGAGCTCTATAGTGCAGTTCGTCTCCCAAACGCCATTGTTTATATAACGCCACAGGTGCCGATGCCTTCTTCTCCCGTAACTTAAAACGCTTACGGCACACGAGTTAAAGGAATCATTACCCTAATTTGGCTCTCTACATTTTATCACGTTTGTGCACTCCAAGATAGTGAACAAACTACTGGAACTAAATCTAAACTAATGCCTTTCTTGGACTTCAATGTACCCGAAATTGATGTTTTCTGATATTTTAATCAAAACTTATTCATAATTCATACAGCATCTTCGATTATAATATTAATAAACATTCTTAATTTAGTTGTGATCAAATTAAAATTCTCGTATATTACTAACAACCTATATCTCAATAAGGACTCACGATCTGTGGTTGTTGTGGTAATGCAAGTGTTTAAGCAGTATTAGACAACATTCAATTGGTGTCTGAAAACATAATATCGATATTTCTGAACTATCATATTAACTTGTTTAATTTTTACCAATATAAATTATCACTGTAATTAGAATGCTCCTATTACGTCGTAGTCCGACTGAGTTGTGTCTGACTGATTTGCATGCATCAGTTTCATTTAATGATGTCATCTTTGTGTTTTGAGTTATCTATCACTAAAAATGATAGCGATCAATAATTACACCATGCTCAAGAACATGTCAATATCAGATTTTCTTCCGAACACATTTAGTTTAATAATCGCCGTTCATTATTGTGTGATAAACCCTGGGCGAAAAAACATCTACCGAAAATCTAATAGAGTAAGTCAAGTTTTGGCGATTCCACCTCACTCATTATACCCGAATGTTCGTTCTATGTAACGTTCAAGAAGTATCACTGTGGGCATCGCATCGTAAGACATTGATTCCTACTTATGACTGTGTGAAAAACTTTTTTAGCTGTAAACCTTAAAAAAAAATGTGGCACCTCTTGCTGTTGTGAACCGTCAACCGTGGGCATTCTTCAGATTTATATCATTCATTCCGTTCGCGCAGATGCTTTTAGCACCATTTTAATTGCCACAAGTAACTGTGCTTATTTATTTGTGGCAAAACTTCCGTTTGTTACGATACGTAAAATTATATTTTTACCACGAGAGTGAATGGTGTTAGGAGCGATATGGGCTGACATGACGATATAACGTAAACAAATGGATTGACTATGCAATTCAAAAATATATTACTCTCGATAAAGGGAAGGTTTGCAAATTTATTTTTATGCTAAGCATGATTGAGTCGTAATTCAACGGTCATAACGTTCTATATGTATACGTTATCAGTGGTTTAAAAGCCTAGAAAAAATAGGAATTTACTAAAAGAACAACGAATTACAGTCAAGTTGTGGCTTTGAGAACAACAATTTTCGGCTGAAAACGGCTATCTCCCTAAACAATATTAAACTTTTGTTCCTCGCTTTATCTCAACGTATGTCGTAGCCCCCGGGTGAAGAAAACGCCAATTAGGGTTAGATGGCAAGAAACTCGACCCCGAGACACGGTGTACCATCTTCTTTGAAATTGTTTTTATCAAGTTTAAATCCAATTATGATGTCAGATTTAACCCTGTACTAGTACTGGCAATATTTTGATATAATAACTCATATTGAGTCGTAATGTTTTTGAAACAAAATCATATTTCAGAGACTATTTTGTATTGTCGGTAACGACTTCATTATTGCTCAATTTTCGCTGACCTAATATCATTTACTTTTACTTCTTTTGTGACAAAATCATACAGAGTTATGATACTAAAATGGGTGGTTATGTACGGTGCAACCTAAACCACTCGAAACCTCAAAAATATATTTTTTTCTATATGTAAGAAGCGTGGCATTGTATAATAACTATATATATATATTTGTTGCAACAAAAGTTCCGAAATTTTGCTTGCTATTTTGATCGATGCTACAATCTTATATTATATGTTTAGTCTCAATATATTATTCCAAAAACATGAGTTTATTATAATATTTATTACCATAGAAATTTCTTTTAGAATAACGGGAAGAAAACCTATAATAAGAAACCTTTTCTGACGACTGTGTATTTCTTCGTGTTAAAACTTATCTGTGATTGACCCAACGAATTCTAAAAACTTCATCGAAAATCTTAATCCAGTGACCGGTGAGTTTACACTACGTCAAAGTTTCGGTGTTGAAATTTGACATCAGTTACTGGAAAGTCATCTTCACCAAGATGCGCGCTAATCCTTACTTCAGGTTATAATTATATGACGAGCCAATTTACACGTAAACATACTTGGCCGTATCTTATACGTTTGAGTACTATACTACGGACGACGTTTTCAATTATTTCTCGCGTGTGAAAAATCTCCACTCGTTCAGTATAAAGTCTCCCCCTTTAATCCTGAGTTATTTTCATTGCTTTGAAATTTCCAATCGACAAGTTTTACTATCTGTAAGAGTCGTCGTAAATAACTCGGTTCATATATAGTAAGAAATTTGTTACTTTGATTTATTGTTTGATTCCTGCATTACTTAACAAGGCGTGACTAAAATAGCATTATCTCCCTACATCATAATACATTTATAAATAATGTAAACGCTATGTAATGCGTTGATTGTAACAAATATATATGTATACAATTTATATTTCGCATAAATGAACCGAAATTGACTTCGATTTTTGTGCGACCGATATCAAGGATTTTGTAAAACGATTTGGGTATAATAATACCCTAAATCATCATTGGTTAATAGTCATTTGTCATTTAAAAACTTTATGAGCAGTGATTCCCAAACTTTTTAAAAAAAAACATGACGGACCCAATGCAATTTTTTGAATGATTTCTGTAGATTCTACAGTATCATGCATAGTAGACATAAGGTATCCTACAGCAAATGGTAACTAAAAATGAAAAATGCATTATAATAGTAAAAAGTATCTTTGTAAACGTTCAGTATGAAATTTTGTAATATTTTCATCCCCATTTAAGAGGCAATATTAGTGTTCGTGATATAGTATTCGCGCTCCAGAGCTCAAGCTGATTTTGTTTATTTAATGTTTCGAAATGGGCTCTTGGAAGAATTTGATCAATTAATTAAAGTTAATGACTTTTTGTTGAAGGAGGATAATTTAATCACAGCTTCCGTTTCAATCCTGGTCATGGGCATATCACCATACAAACAATCGCCAGCCGTTTGGCAATTATTTTAATTTAAAGCAAGTTATGATATGAAATTATACCATGAAATTTTAAATCAACTATCATTAATCGTAGGGTTTATTATTCTTATTTAATGTTATATACGTTAAAAACGCATCAAAATGGAGTTCTTGGGAAAACTTTGCCATGGACTCTTTCTCTATATATGAAATCTGTTTTTGTCACATTATCAAACAATAAGCAATTAATAGAAAATTAATTGCGAATATTTTAAAAATAAATACCGACAAAATTATTGTTTCAAAAAACGTGCATTAACGTGACGCATTACGCACGCGTTGGTAAATCTACGTATCTTCGCAACTTGGCTATTTGCATCCAAACGTGATTCATTTCTCATTTCGCGGAAGATAAGTATGGCATTTGATTTAAAAGTAAAACAATACGAAATGCACGATTGCACGATCAGGATAACTCAAAAAAGGTTAAACGAACATTGGCAATCAGATATATTTCAGGGAATCACATCATCAAATAATTATTGTTATTCCACGCATTTAAATTTATACAAACAAATCGGCAATAAAAGCGACAATTATTTTGATCTTGCTTTGATAACCCTACGAAATTTTACATCTAATAATAAACCACATTCAATGTACCCAAATTTTAATGATATAGGTATGTCAATTTTAAGAAAAATAAACTTCCAATTGTATTTAAGCATCGATTTGCCAATCTATAGTAAGAATATGGAAATGGTAAAAATAATAGCAATTCCATCTGATTGCTAAATGCATTTTAAAATTTCAAGAGAATTGTTCAGAGAATTGGATATTTCTGTTATAAGCTTTGAAACAAATTAGTTTATCACGTTTTATGTCTTTATTTATATTTGTCACGACAACGTGTTCCAGGATATCTGTCCAGGAGTATGTACTAATTTGAATTCTGTTGCACACTGACATAAATTTCATTATTGGAATATAAGAAAAGTTATGTCTATTCCTATCGCATGTCTTTTTCACAAAATTAAATAATTAATCTGGCGCAGTCTTACTTAATCAAAGTCAAATGTCGAAAATGTCTGTATGCACTAGAACGAAAAACAACGCGTACAATGGGAAAAAATGCTAACTTATTACCTCGCAAAGTAAAAAACTGGGCAATACAACGGGACTTTATCACTCAAAATTGATGCAGGCCCGTGATGTGTGTTAATTGACCAATCAACAAATATCCGCCGCTTGTATAATCTGATTTCATTTCTTTTTTCACATGCATCTGTGTTTAAATCATCTACCA